GGTTACGGCGGCGGCGGCTACGGTGGCGGAGGCGGTGGTGGCGGTGACCGAATGAGCAACCTTGGTGCCGGACTCAGCAAACCTACTTGGGGTATGCCTCCCCAATACGCGCAATACATCTATCATGATCATGCTAACAGTATACTGCAGATCTTAGTAAACTCCCCAAGTTCGAGAAGTCCTTCTACAAAGAGGACGAAGCTGTTGCCTCACGACCCAGCAGCGAGGTTGACCGATTCCGACGCGATCACCAAATTACGGTCGCCGGTCATGACGTTCCCAAACCTGTCGAGACTTTCGACGAAGCTGGTTTCCCCAGATACGTTATGGATGAGGTCAAGGCCCAGGGCTTCCCTGCTCCTACCGCCATTCAGTCCCAAGGCTGGCCGATGGCTCTTTCCGGTCGCGATGTCGTTGGTATTGCCGAGACAGGCTCTGGAAAGACGCTCACGTACTGCCTTCCCGCTATCGTTCACATAAACGCCCAACCCCTTCTCGCCCCTGGCGATGGTCCCATCGTCCTTGTGCTTGCCCCTACCAGAGAGTTGGCTGTTCAGATTCAACAGGAGATTACCAAGTTTGGTAAATCATCCCGAATCCGCAATACCTGCGTCTACGGTGGTGTCCCTCGTGGTCCCCAGATTCGAGATCTCTCCAAGGGAGTCGAAGTCTGCATTGCCACACCCGGTCGTCTGATTGACATGCTCGAAGGCGGCAAGACCAATCTCCGCCGCGTTACTTACTTGGTTCTTGACGAAGCTGATCGTATGCTTGACATGGGTTTCGAGCCCCAAATTCGAAAGATCATCAGCCAAATTCGACCCGACCGTCAGACACTCATGTGGTCTGCTACCTGGCCCAAGGAAGTTCGAGCTTTGGCCGCTGAGTTTCAGACAGACTTCATCCAAGTCAACATCGGTTCGATGGATCTTTCTGCGAACCATCGTATCACTCAAATTGTTGAAGTAGTTTCGGAGGGAGAGAAGCGTGATCGCATGATCAAGCATCTAGAGAAGATCATGGACAACAAAGAGAACAAGGCACTCATCTTCGTAGGAACAAAACGTGTTGCCGATGACATTACAAGATTCCTCCGCCAGGATGGCTGGCCGGCACTGTGTAAGTTTATTTCCACGATATAAATCCTCCCACTAACGTTTTTTGCAGCAATACACGGCGACAAACAACAGAACGAGCGTGATTGGGTCCTGGATCAATTCAAGACAAACAAAAGTCCCATCATGGTCGCCACTGACGTGGCTTCTCGTGGTATTGGTATGATTAAAATTCCCCCATCCCTATCCCATCCCCCAACTTCCAGCAGAGTTATATCCGATGTGCTTGACTGTGATGTCTAGGGGCTTTCTTGATTGCGCACATATTTCTGGCCTAATCGTGTCTCGTGGTTCTCCTTGCACCTTGATGATCGGGATCAATGGTATGGCCCAAGGGCCGTGTCGATGTTTCGCCTTGTACCTGATGTGCTGTGGTACAAACTAGGCGAAGTTGAGCATTTCTTGATTTTATCAAGCTATCTCTTTAAGATTCCCGAATCCCCGAGGACCCGGACCAGACTATTGGGATCAATTCCAGATTGGCAGTGTTGATGCAACAGACAGCCCCATTCTCGATGGAGAAGGCACGGAACAATATGCTTATGGCACCTAAATCCGCCGCTGGGACTTGCTTCGTAGCAACTCGTTTTCTAGAGCTAACCTTTTGTGATAAAGATGTGCGCAACATCACTCACGTGATCAACTATGATTATCCGAACAACTCGGAGGATTATATTCATCGTATTGGCCGTACCGGCCGTGCCGGCGCCAAGGGTACCGCCATCACATTCTTCACTACTGACAGTAAGTCTCACATTACTTCACACTTTTGAAGTTTAGCTAACCCGCAATACCAGACTCGAAGCAGGCTCGTGACCTCGTTAGTGTTCTTCAAGAGGCTAAGCAACAAGTCGACCCAAGATTGGCCGAGATGGCGAGATACGGCGGTGGTGGTGGCGGCGGCCGATACGGCGGCCGTGGATATGGACGTGGTGGCCATCGTGGTAAGTTTAATTCATGTTGCTGCTCCACACGCAAGCTAACTCAATTATTAGGTGGTGGCGGCGCCGGTGGTGCTAACGCCATGCCGCTCGGTAGCCGACGGTGGTGATTAAACTTTCTACAGGTGCCTTGAAGACCCCAGATTCTTTCTACCACAGCCTAGCAGCTCTTGTGGGATCGTTGAGGTCATCTTAATTCGCAAAAGCACAAACGGCGTTATTTAGAGGGTTCGGTTGATTAGACATGGTAATATCGACTTTCTTCAAGTAGTGCATCTCTTCACTGAGATCTGCACGCGTCATTAATCCTTTGATTGCCTCAGGAGATATGACAGAGTTTCCTATGTCTCTAAAAGGACGAGGTTACCGTGGTTTGAGGAGAGGCTCAATATTTGTACAATTTAGGGTCCCTCATGAGGAGGTAGCCGGCAGCCTTGCCTGTTACTATGCAAAACATTGGCTGTGGAACTTGCTGACCCGATTATAGATTGGAACTGCTAAGCTACATCGTTGACTGCCAAGGTCTTCCATGTTCATGTAGATCCATTTGTTCTAGTTGCACTCGTTAGGAGGCAAAAAATCAGACAGCCTAGGTAGCATAAGAACATTTCGTAATATATTTCCGGTATTCAGTGACACATCTCTAGTATATATGAATATACCACGTGTTAAGTAGTGGCACAGTCACCAGGCTCTCAAGCGGCGTAGTCATTGCAAAGGCATATGGCCCTTGCTTCTCATTTTATTCCTTTCTACTTTTGCCGAGACTTAGCTACGTCAAGACCATCTGGGGTGGGTAAGGTTATTAAGATGGCACTGGAAAATAGGCACACAATATATATCCGGCCCTGGTTCCATTTACCCGGTTCTCGCAAGTCACATTCCGCTCAGTTTCTCCTTCCACCTTGGCGTCATAAGGTATGCTAGTATGGTGCCTCGCGGTTCCTAGATGACCGATGACTTGTTTATCGCTCACTGCTTGTTGCTCTCCGCCCCACGCCCCTGGTGTTATAATTACATCGGTAGGATGGCGTTAGGTATATCCTCCTGGGTCGTGTGAACCAGATTTCTTGCGATTCCTCTCTCGTCACGTCCTGGAACAAAGCCAGTTGTCCGTACGAACGACCTACTAGTAGAAGCGGTCTACCGATTCGACATTTCGAACTCGATCATTGTCATTGGATTAGTGTTGAATATGAAGACCGCCGGAGTACTCGCGTTCTTGGTGGCCGCTGTCCAGGCTGCTCCTCACTGTAAGTGTTTACCGAAACTGTGTTGTTAATCTGTCTCGTCTTCATCTATACCCAAGGCTCTTTCCATGTTTCGATGTTTCTTGAAAGTTTTGTCGTCACTCTTTACATGTACTTCAGAGCCTCAACTGTATAGCTTCGTTGCTACTCGTCATGTTCATAGATTAACTGCTCAGACACCTTCCCCGAGCTCGTCGGAACGTCGGAGTGGTCTTCAGTGCGCCAGGTCAGTACATCATACTATTTTATCCCCTGGTTCATAGATACTATCCATACCAGCCATCAGATCGCCCGTTTCTAACGTCATATTTTCAAACAGACAGCCAACTTCCAGAGCAATGGACCCGTAACGGATGTCACTAGCGATGCGATCCGATGCTACGAACGGGCCCCGGGCGGCGCACCCGATATCACCAAGGTCAACGCCGGCGGTCAGATCACCTGGCAGGTGGCTCCGAATATCTATCATCCGGGAGCGCTATCCGCGTACATGGCTAAGGTCCCCAGCGGCCAGACTGCTGCAACGTGGGATGGCAAGGGAGCCGTCTGGTTCAAGGTCTTCCAGGATATGCCGACTGTTAGTGGTGGACAGTATGTTTGGCCATCTAATGGTGAGTAGTGTTCTTGTTCTTGTTATGGTTTTGGGTTTCGGTGTGGGAATACGGAGAAAAGAAGGAAGAGGGCCTGAGCTCCTTGGGGTATTGCATAGCATCTACTGACTTTTGCTGCGCATATAGGAAAAGCCCAGGTTAGCTTCACTATTCCGCAGTGCTTGGCTAATGGCGATGTGAGTATTCTCCGGAGATAAATCCTAAATCTTCCTACGACACTTCAATGAATATTATACTGATCTGGATATCTTAGTACCTGTTCCGTATCGAACATGTTGCCCTTCACAGCGCGAGTTCCGCAGGTGGCGCCCAGTTCTATATCTCGTGCGCTCAGATCACGGTTTCTGGTGGCTCAGGTTCCAAGACGCCGTCGAACCTCGTCTCCTTCCCTGGTGCTTACAAGGCTACTGACCCCGGCCTCCTCATCAACATCTACAACAACGGTGGCCAGACCTACCAGCCTGCTGGCCCATCTGTCTTCACTTGCTGAGTGGAAGCAAGCATGGGAGAAAGAGGATTGCTTATCGACATGATGGAGAGTGGACGGTGTCCATGGGGAAGGGAATTTACGCTGGAATTCGGTCCTCAGGATCGGATTTGATAGGGGTGCATTTTCGTAAATCCTAATACTATATGGAACTTTCATGTAAATTCTCAGTGCCAAGCCCGTGCGCAATGTTATGCTAAGGTCTCTAGACTACCCGAGCTCATATGTATGTTCATGCTCAACGTCGATATTATGTTGTGCACTCAACCCAAAACAGAGATGATCTACTCACTTTTCCACGCAATATCGGATTCACTTTTCGTGGTTTTCGAGAATCCATACTACCTAGCTGGACAGAGCAAAACCGGCCGGCAGCCTTTGACAATTCGCTACCATCATCTATACTATGAATAAGCAACAACACCTTGATGTTGTACAACATGACGTCCCACATTAGACCCACACACAGCGTTGCCTCTGGTTTATATCAGAAAGTGCGAGATCCCGCATGGCGAGCCGGGTAGACAAGGAAAAGGGAATGATAATTGATAGATGATCGTATAAGGCCAAAAATGATACAAAAATTAGCAAAGTAACTCTCGATCGGGGAATCGAACCCCGGCCACCTGCGATTTGCTTGTTAGAAGATGTAGGCGTTAGTCTCCACGATCGTGAGATTAACATCAACTAATGACAAGCAGGTATCCTAACCACTAGACCAATCGAGATAGAGACGAGTCGATGTACGAACGATGGAGGCTCGCTCTTCGTATTTCGACTAGAGTTTGCTAGGTTAGTTTCCGAGTCGTGAACTAACTTCAATGAGCAGAGTGGAGTCTAAATAGAGAGGAGGTCATTTACTTTACATATTTTGCTTTCTAGGAGTCTATGAACGTTACCACTGTATATCTGTAAAGGCAGCAATGAATATTCTCGACTACTTGCAACACGCTGCAACTTGTCCGAGCAAGGCTGTTGTGTCTCACAATGTTTCTATCCGTTGTTCTAGACTAGTAGACGTTGAACTCCTTCTTCGTCTTAGTTTATACGAACTGCCCAGAACAACAGATTATCGTGACATGTGGCGTCTGGCAAGACAAAGTACGGACGGATGTGATTAGGGGACCTACCGCTGCAGGAAGATGATCGTGATAAACACTTTGTTGATCTGAGGGTACAGATAACACGTATTCGGCATGGCCTACATATTCGTAGCCAATGTCAGTACGCCTCAAGTCTACTGTATTCAAATCAACGTTGTATTTTACAAATTAAATCTACTGTCTAACCACTCGATAAAGCATGCGGGGTATGGTTGAGGAAGCACGATTCATGGCAATCTACATAGTGTGAGGCTGGATCGCCGGACGAATCTCCACACCGCATCTTTTGCAATCGGCCCCGACCCAGACCCGAGCGAAGATTTCGTCCATAAAAGTGGGATTTGCCGTAGTCACTCCTCGGCTTTTCTTGTGCCTAGACTAGAGAGATAAGGAAGCTTCTGGACTGGGTCGCTTGGATCGCCAAGAATGAGACAATCCGTGTTTGTTTGGAGATCTTGATGTAGACAATATCTTATGTTCTCGAGATCGTTTGTTCAAGTCTCTAAACCATTTGCTTTACGACTATCTGCTTAGACATCACACCCTCAGGATTTAAGTATCCGCCTTAATTTAATTTAAAAGGATGCTGATGAGCGTCATGCGGCCAGGGGAAAATGATGACGTGGGGGAATATGTACGTACCAGTCAGTCTACAACCGGCCACGTCTTTAGCCCTCTGAGTCCTGCGCCTGTAAGGTTCGGGGCTACAAACAATACTGACTGTGTGTATGTTATGCCTCTTTCTACGGACATCTGCTTCTAAAGCTCTCGGCACCCTCCCGTCGACTTCAACATCATTGTGACCTGTCTACACTAGACGATGATACGAAATATATGTCCATATGCTAAAAATAGATAGATATTGCGACAGTTCTAGCCACGATAATTAGTGTGCTGGCAGATGATAAAGTTTGGTAACCTCGTAACTACCCGCTGGGATGCCATACACAAATAAACGCCTCGAAACTCAATCGTTCGGTGAGGCTTTGAGACATGTAAAGCTGACTGAATACTGGTACTCGCATCAACGTAACAAGTCATTATCCAGCCGTAGGTGACACGTCAAAACGGCAGCTTCCGAAGCCGCTACGGTTTGAATGTGATGTCTCTTTCGTCGATGGGTGTAATTCAAAGGGTGAACTGTCTCAGGGAGTTTGTACTGAGGTGGAATCAAGGGATTCAGTTGTTTTATCTTTTTATCTATTCTCCCCCCAGCCTGCGAGGCACGCGTTTGTCAGCTTTGGATTCAGCCGCATCATTTTCCCTCGTTAGAAACACTCTTGTGACTCAGCAAGTAATTGGCTCTAGCGGTGCAAGTCCTTAATATCTCTCTATACGATTCCCTTTTATCTCTATAGTGGAGTAAAAGAATGTCTTGCCTGTTTCATTGCTTTTCAGTGCCATGTAGGCAGCCCAGGCACGCAATATTTAGGTTAGAAATCACGGTGGCTTGGATGACCAAGAAAAAGTCACCCGTTTTCCAGCGCCTCTCAGCAGCAAGCCACCCACCTATATTAACACATATAATTCGGCCGAGCGGTCAAACCCCGATCAGGACTGAGAAAGAAATGACAGGGCGGTATGCAAGCCACTCTGCTTCACACAGGTATTCGCTCCGTCGGTGGTTAGCTCATATTCCTCGGCTACTCGTAGAAGAGACATAATACAGTTTCTTTGCTTCCTGCTGCCCTGACTGCTGTGGTCTGTCTATAGGGCTGTGGAATGAAGTAAGAGATTAGCTAATACTGGCCAGCAGACAAGGTGAACCAACGAAAATAGCAACTAAGTAATAGTAATAATAGAGACTTAGTTACAAAAGAATAGTGCCCTGTGAAACCTGTTTTTCCCACCACTTCCATAGCAACTCGATCAATCTAATGATGTGTAACGGGATCTAGCAGATTAGTGACAAGCGACCGCTCACTATCCGAACCAAGGGCTACGCCAATGGCTGCCAGATCGCTCTTGGTTCCTACCTTAGACAGATCTCCTGCAAAGTGGTGTACCTAGAGACTACTTTAGCAGTCACCGCTAATGTGTTCTAGGTACACTGCACGCTCTGGAACCATGCACTTTTGGCGTCACGGTAGGCCATCCGAGAGCACACTAGGAACCATGGACTGGCATCCATCACGATATTCTAAAGCCCTAAAAGACCACCCCCTCAATGCTCATGTGTCCTGTCCTTACGCAATTCTCTACTGCTATGCTCATGTTCATATAATCCGACCCACATGTCTGACGCATTGATGATCAAAAGCAGAACGACCTGCATTTTCGGATAGGAGAGAATTTCGGGCGGATTGATGGATACTACCTCGTCGGCGTGAAGGCCCTTGTCTGATTTAGATGTCATCGTGATGCTAGCCGGGGGTCGGGGGTGCCGAAGTCCGTGGGGACGGGGGTTGGTTTCGTGTAGGGAGAGCGATGAACGAGGAGATACGAAGCAGTAGAAAATCTGCCTGTCTTCCTCCTCCTGGTTGGGCATGGCATCGTGGGTCTCGTTTCGCTATTACTGCCTACATAAGAGATATGGAGCGAAAATCAAACGCACTACTGCCGTACGCGCGACCCGAGCGAGCAGCATCTCATTTCCCCTTAGTGCGAACCATCTACGAGTTGGGGATTTTTCTCGAATGAGAAGAAGACACAGTACAATCCTTCCCGGGGAATTAGACTAGTGAGGAATAGAAAAACAGAGAGAGAGAAAATGTGTTTTCCCCACCCAGCTGCATACTGTATTTGAAGGACTCTCGGGGAAATTGCCCAATGTCGTATGCTCGTCGAAGATTCGACTCCTGCCACCGCACAGAGAGGAACGAGCTCCTCAAGGGATAATTCGTTCACAGTGGACACACTCGCTCATCGTTGACGTCAATAGCGAGTCGGCGGGAGCTGCGGTAGTTGATGAATATGCCTTGGTTTTTCTGTGGATTTTCCTGACGTTCATATTTCATTCACCGCTTTTGTGGTATCAAAGAGAGATGATGGTAAGATGTCGAATTGAGAATTACACCGCATTGGCCATGCAGTCGCGGCATACTGTTTTTGTTCAGACACATATATACACGCGTGGCATACAGTACATGGCGTTATATCTAAGCAATGAAGTGGCTGGGGCTATTCTACCTACTCAGTACTCGTCCTGGGGGCGTCAAAAGGGCAAAGAGAAAACAAAAGGGATGCCTACTGTAGTGTTGTTGTGCATGGATCGCCACTGCAGCTTGGCAGCAGGGGTCCTTTGTATACAAGATCCAGGCAAGTGGGTGATGTTCCCAGGGATCTCAAAGATATGGATAGGATCACACATTTGCCCAAGGTAATGGTTAGGCGTAGGCGATGCGACGGGGTGGTAGTGTAGGACAAGGTATACATAGCGGTATCCCTTCGCAGATGGCAGATGGCAGATGCGATTTGCTGGTGCGTTCCGGGGTCAGCATGAGAAATACCACCACAGTCTTTTGATTCTTTTTGGGTTTCGGTTTCTGTCTTCCTTGCCCATAAAAGCTACACCCCCTTGATTGCCACGGCCGCAAGGATCCCAGTTGCCACTTCGAGTCGTTTATTACTATGATGTGAACGCACGAGTGGCCAGCTGAAGATGCCGAGCAAGTCATGCGCAAGCACTCTGGTCGATTTTTGTCGATTTGGTCCGTTCCGTCCCCCCGCGACAAAGGATGTCCATCCAACGTCACTTTCTTTCAGATGACTCCCTCCCGAACCGAGGATAATTTGACTGACTGACTGACTGACTGACTGACTGATGAATGGATGGACTGACTGATGTACGGCGACTCGATCCCACCTTGCTTGAGCAATGCAATTCGACTGCAGGGGGCCTACATATATACCACATCAATGGGGATGGGAGCGCCTGGAACAGCACAATTATGGGTTCGCCCAGGTTATGCTTCGGTCAATATTGGAGGCCTTGGCTGCTGTGGTTGCGCATGTGTAGGAGACATGACTCGATGTTATTCGTTTCAATGTGGTTTCTTACGGAGGTTGTACATGCAGACTTTCTACACTGGGAACCGGCCGAATCAGTCAAGGTTGCATGGCGGTGGGTCTCATGTCGCATGCAATGCAAGCCCAACGATGAGATGAGCACCTTTTTCCTCCGAGAGCGTTCTCGACGAATTGAGGTGTGAATACCGAGCTCTGCACTTGGAGATCCTGGCCAGCCCTGCATGGTTGGGGGGCATGCTTAGGAGTCTATAGTATAGTATACTATACATACATTCAATATTTCATTAGCAGCAGACCAAATTGGTGAAAGCATAATACGGGGCATTATCCCTCGGCGAAGACCACATCCGTAGTTATCGATCTGTGTGCATTGACTGTATTGTGAAGAGGATTTCTTTATCTCGGGACTCTTCCGTATTACAGCAGTGTAATCACAATCTCACAACATGGCTTACAGCGGTTGTGACGTGAGATTCAGCAAACAGGGATCCTTTGGTAGGCCCAACGAAAACGGCGATATGATGTGTTTCCCGAGATCAAATGTCTCAATACTGCAGCCCACTGGCACGACGGGACGTGAGAACGATCCATGGGAGACAGAGAGTTAGGTATATGGTCTAGACGTACGTATTTGGTAATAGTTCATCCAGACTCTT